CCTATTTGAGATAAGTCCCTGAGACCCAACACAACTTCGAAACTTGTCCTTGCTAAGAAGCTTCGTGAAGGAATCTGCCACCATGGTCTTCGTAGGAACATGAATCAGTTTGATCTCACCCAATTTTATCCTCTCGCGCAGGAAATGATGGCGCACATCAATATGTTTAGTGCGCGCCTGATACACACCATTCTCAGCCAAATTCTGCGCTCCCTGGTTGTCCACTTTCAAAACTGTTGGACTCTGGCTTGTCATTGGAAACAGCTCCGTGGACAATCCTCTCAACCACAAGGCTTCTTGTGTCGCCGAAGACATGGCCATATATTCCGCCTCAGTTGTCGAAAGAGCTATAGTTGGTTGTTTCTTTGTGGACCAAGATAACGCTCCTCCATTTTTTACAAAAACGTATCCTGTAACTGAGCGCCTACCGTCAACGTCACTGCCCCAGTCCGAGTCGCTATAACCAATAACGGGAGAAATCATATTCTTCTTTCCACAAAAACGTAGCTGAAAATGAGCGGTTCCCTTTAAATAGCGAAATATATGCTTTACAGCACTCCAATGAGCTTTCCCAGGATTGTTGTTAAATCTGCTTACATAACTCACAGCAAAGTTAATGTCCGGACGCGAAACTTGCGAGGCAAACAACAGACATCCCACGGCTTCCTGATAAGGAATCTTCTCCATCTCCTCCCTCTCTCTCGCAGTTTTTGGACACTGATCTTTGGTAAGTTGAGTTCCCGGTGTTATAGGAATATCCGTTGGATTGCAATTCTCCATACTAAATCTTCTCAAAATCTGGTTAATATATGCAGACTGGTTGATACTAATCTCTTTCTCTTCCTGATTATGTTTAATCTGGAAACCCAATATATGTTCGGCCTTGCCCATGTCTACCATTTTGAATGTAGAAGCCAACCTCATCTTCAACTCCCTCCTTGACTGCTCATCATTAGACAACAACAATATGTCATCCACGTAAACCGCAACAATCAGTATCCTACCACCCTCAATCCGGAAGTAAATGCACGAATCAAACTTAGACTGACAAAGGTTCGCTTCTTTAAGACACCTATCCAGCTTGGTGTTCCATACTCTGCTTGCCTGCTTCAGCCCATACAAACTTTTATTCAATCGGCAAACTCTTCCACCTTCATTGTACGGGAAAGGAGGAAGTATGTATATCTCTTCATCCAAGTCGCCCTGCAAGAATGCAGATACAGCGTCCATCTGGTCAATGTCCAAACCATATTCAGCTGCCAAAGATAACAAATACCGAATAGAGCTGTACCGTATCACCGGAGAGTATGTTTCCTGATAATCGACACCCTTCTTCTGCGAACACCCTTTTACCACAAGACGGGCTTTGTATACTTCCTTCTTTGATTCGTCCACCTTGACTTTAAATACCCATTTACATCCTAGGGGTTTGCGGCCAGGAGGTAAGTCAACTTCCTCCCACGTTTTATTTTCAATTTGAGCTTTATACTCCCTATCGATGGCTTTTTTCCATTCCTCTTTATCCGGACGAGATAATGCCTCCTCAACTGTCAACGGTTCTTCACTCAACGATATTGAGCTGAAATTCAATTCATAATCCGCGAGATACCTAGGTATCCTTCTCTCTCTTGGTCCATTTTTCACATCTCGGTTTGTACTTGTCTCACCCGTTGGCAAGGATGAATCCGAATTCTCTTGACTATCCCCGGACTCACTCGAACTGGATGATGCCGACAACTCATCATCGTCATCAGCATCGCTCGTTTCCACGACGCTGTCCTCTATACTGTCATCAATAAACTCGGGAACAAAACAATCATGTGTTTCATTCTTCGCTCCATCCAACAGCAAGGCCCCTTTTTCATTCTCTGCAAAAATCACATCTCGAGAAACAAATATCTTTGATCTTTCCACGTCAAAAAATCGATAAGCCTTAGTCAACAAACTGTAACCAACTAGAATACAAGGTCTTGACCTGTCATCCAACTTTTTTCTATTTATTGCCGGAACATAACTATATGCTTTGCAACCAAATACTCGAATATGTTTTATCGTGGGCTTTTTACCTGACCACATCTCTTCGGGAGTTTTTTCAACGCATCTACTAGGTAAACGATTCAATAAATATACACCACAATATGCAGCTTCTGCCCAGAACTTGTTTGGCAGTTCCGAATCCTTCAGGAGACATCTCACACGTTCCATAATCGTTTTGTTAAGTCTCTCTGCCTTCCCATTTTGCTGCGGTGTATGAGGAACCGTTGTCTGATGCTCAATGCCTGCAAATGAAAATAACTGTTTCATCTTGTCACTGCAATACTCGCCTGCATTGTCCGTTCTGAAACATCGAATCCTTTTTCCAGTCTGATTTTCAACATAAGCCTTATACTCCACAAAACAGGAGTACACCTGGTCCTTTGACTTCAGAAAATAAACAAAGGTCTTATGAGTAAAATCGTCCAAAAATGTAATCATATATTTAGATCCTGACAAAGAATCAGGGAATGGACCAGCCAAGTCAGAGTGAACCAATTCCAGGACTTCAGTGGCCCTCGAATCACTTTCTGGGAATGGAAGACGATGACACTTGCTAAGTGCACAAGCCTCACACACGAAGTCACTAGGAATCCTGAACCTGCAGTCCAAACCATGAACAACATCCCCCAACTTTCTCAAGTTCGGAAAACTGACATGACCAAGACGCCTATGCCACAAATTGTCTAAATTTTCCACAGACAGAAGAACCGTGTGAGATGTATTCAAATCCAATTGAAACAAATTATTTCTCAAAGTCGCTGAAGCCAGAATGGCACCCTTGGCATCAAAAACTCGCGCACCTTTTGAATTGAAAACAACCGAATTGCCATTTTTCACGATCTGACTCACAGAAAGTAAATTAACCCGTGCTTCCGGCACATAATACACGTCCTTTATTTTAACAGGTGACACAGATTGTCCAACTCGCACTGGTAGTTTGATGTTCCCCATAAGATCAGAGTTCATTCGTTCCTTGTCGTTGGCTGTGCTGAACCCTACCTTCGCACTCTTTAAATCACTTACAAAACACTTATCAGTCTTGGTTAAATGAACTGAGCAACCCGAATCTAAAAACCAGCTATTTTCCTCGTTAGAAGTCTGAACCGACAAGGCTGTGTACATAGAACGTTCGAATTTGTTTTGATTCTGCTCATTACTACCACCATCCCCGTCACAATATTTTGCAATATGTCCGTAATTACTGCACTTAAAACATCGGGGTCCTTTTCTTTTATTCGTATTTGAACTCACTCCAGCAGACGCAGAAGGCTTGCCCGTAGCAAACTTATTACTTGAATATCGTTTAGTATACATAGCTGCAGTACTTTCCTCTAAACCTGAATCAAAATCTGTAACGTCTTGAAGTAATTTCATTTTAATCGAATCCGAAGTAATTTTAGTCCCCGCACTCTCAAGGCCCATAATCATTGGGGAATACTTATCAGGTAAACCAGCAAGCATAATTGTTCCAATCCACTCATCAGTTACATCCATCTTAACTGCACGCAGTTTATGCGCCGTAGTAATTATTTTGTTCACGTACTCTTCGACCGATGAACAACTTTCCAACCGTGTTGTCGTCAACATTCTTAATAAGGATACACGTCTTTCCAATCCACTATCCTCAAACACCGAGAGTAATTTCTCCCAAACCTGCTTCGCTGTAACTGCATCTTGTACATGAATATAATTAACAGGATCGATCATCAAAACAATCTTCGTTCGAGCCTTCACATCTTTCTTCTCATCAATGTTGTCTCCTGTTACGCAATCCCATAAATCTTCGTGTTCTAGATAGGTTTTCACCGCAAATTTCCACGTATCGAAGTTTTCACGCCCCTTTAGTTTCTCTATCGGAGGGAGTGCCGAACTTGAGGACATTTTTGCAACGGAATTCCTGAATCACCACGAAATTTATTAACTCAGACACTTTCTAAGCGTTTGCCTGGGCCCATAACCTGTTGTAATTGGTAATGAGACTAAACATTTAGGTAATTGAACACAGTATATTAAATGTAGATTATAAACAAAACAAGTAACCATGTAACAAAATGGCGAAGTGACAAAACGAGAAATAATAAACATGACAAATGACATTTAGGTTAACGTTGGTCTTTTCCTATATATGTACACATCTCAAATATTTACAACAGTTTCCTCATATTAAAGAAACTTTAATTATTATAGTAATTATAGTGCGTAAATTGAGGAAACTTACAGGTGTGTAGGGAACTATCGAACAGACAAAAGTGAGAAAATTTCAAACTTGCTACAGAAGAATAAAATTAAGTAATAATAAAGTGAAATCATTCGAAATGAAAGAATATTAAAAATGTTATAATCATAAAAAACTGCACGTAAGTTAATTAATAGTTATTTATTTTCTTATTAACTTTAATTAGGTACTTTTATGGCTCGTTTGTTTGGTTTCTATGCAGAAGGAATTTCTATTTTAGGCTAGAAGAGGTTTGAAAAATAAATAGAAAATGGAAAAGGAAATCAACAAATACGCACTTGGTAAAGATAAAAATAAGCGCTCGTGACTTCAACTTAAAATAGTGTTTATACGATCCAATTTTATTTGGCAAACACATTTTTAGTGTTCTATCTGGTTGTATAAATGTTTAGATTTTTGGAGGAATAAAAATTTCAAAATTCCTGCCGCGTTACCAAGCTTCTATAAGTTGTAATTTCCGATTACGTTGCATTTAATTTAGAGAACGCATTAAAAAATATATTTTATTTAGATAGGTAATAAGCAATTCCTTTTCGTTCTCTTTATCAACGTGTTGACGCTAATGAAATTGTCATCTTTCAAATTTTTACAATAATTTACTATATTTAAAAAAATACCCAACAGAGACTCGCTACCTACAAACCAAAGTTTCAATCAAATTTAATCCCTCTTAATTCCTATTCGATTCTTTCCCACTCGATTATTAATCGATTCTCTTCTGTTCCAGATCTAATCGACCAATCACCGACCATGAAAGGGGAGCACGAAGAGTCCCCATCAGGCTCTCCCATCAGCAAAAAGAGCAGCCTCAACGATGGCCTCGTCATCATCCCCACTAACGTGAGGTGCTTGGTCAAAAACCCCCTAGCAGACCACAGAAGAACCGGATCCACAGGTGAGAGAATCCATTCCACTTCCACCAGGAGGTGATATACATCGTAATTCGAGGTGCATTTGGCATTAAAAGTATCTCCTTCCATATAAGTTTCTGCGAGTCCATCGATTTTTGGAGGATCTTTTGCTAAAGCTGAAACAATACAAACATAAAATGAGCTTTGTTTCTTTCTGACTAACAATTAAATTAGCTTCCGTAATCGAATTAAAATGGCAATTTTGAATATACAGGGTGTCTCAAAAGTTGATAAATTTTTTTAACTGCGTATATACAGTGTGTGTCACGACGCGAGGGCCCATTAGAAGTATCTGGAAAAGTAGTTGTAATTAAAATTTGAAAATTTGTGTGCAAGTATTAGTCGATGCGCTCTATTCAATGAAAATATTTTCAACTTTTCTTTACTTCCGGTTATACCGGAAGTGGACAGCAACTTTGTTATTTTAAATGGGACACCCCATATATTAATATATTTTCGAAATGTACGCAAAATTTTAGAGTGCTTTTGTCTAAAAAACTTTTTTCAAAAATGCATACTTTTTGAGTTACTAATTTTTTTTTTTTAAATTTGACCGATGCAGACTTTTATAAATAATTTTTTACGGGGATCTCTTTAAAGATATGGATACGGTTTCTGTAGGGTGGCCACTAGCAAGGTCAAAGGTATTTGAATCTGTGTTAAAAAACTTTTTATTTTATACAGGGTGTATACAAAACATGTGAAAAGTTGAACTTCAAAAATACCAAATTATTTCATTTTTTTAAATGGAACCACCCATTTTTTTCTATTTTATTGAAATTAGCGGTAAAAAATAAGGAAAGTTCATGTTTACTTTCCTATACCTAAACCTAATAGGTTTGATGATATTAAAAATTTTACTTAAAACTCACTTTTCTGCCGCATAAATAACTCTGTTTTACAAGTTGGCCATGTAATATCTCATAAGTACCAAAATTAATAATCAATTAATTACAAACAATTTACATGGCCAACTTGTAAAAACGGATTATTTAAGAATAAGGCAGAAAAGTAAGTTTTAAGTAAAATTTTTAATATCTTCAAACTTATTAGGTTTAGGTATAGGGAAGTAAACATGAACTTTCCTTATTTTTTATCCCTTATTTCAATAAAATAGAAAAAAATGGGTGGTTCTATTTAAAAAAATGAAATAATTTGTGATTTTTCAAGTTCAACTTTTCACATGTTTTGTATACACCCTGTATAAAATAAAAAGTTTTTTAATACAAATTCAAATACCTTTGACCTTGCTAGTGGCCACCCTACAAAAACCGTATCCATATCTTTAAAGGGATTCCCGTAAAGAAATAATTAATAAGGGTCTGCATCGGTCAAAATTTTCAAAAAAAATTAGTAACTCAAAAAGTATGCATTTTTGAAAAAAGTTTTTTAGACAAAAGCACTCTAAAATTATGCGTACATTTCGAAAATATATTAATATATGGGGTGTCCCATTAAAAATAACAAAGTTGCTGTCCACATCCGGTATAACCGGAAGTAAAGAAAAGTTGAAAATATTTTCATTGAATAGAGCGCATCGACTAATACTTGTACACAAATTTTCAAATTTTAATTACCACAACTTTTCCAGATACTTCTAATGCGGGATCGCCGAGTTGTACCACGGGATAGCAGGTAGGTCTAATCCTACTACCGAGTTGTACCACCGAATTTTCTAATGAGGCTTAACGACTTAAAAAATAAAGCCCGACAATAACCATTAACAATTTTATTATAAATTAGATACAAAATTATAGTAAAATATAAAATAAAATAAAATAAAATAAAATAGTAAAAACTTAAAGACTTTACAAAATCAAATTTATTAATTTTGTTTTCTTTAAATTCATTAATTTTTAATGTTATATAATCGAATTTCTTTCTTGTAACAGACTTCAGTTTTTTATTATTTTCTGATTCACTGGCAGTCTTAATTTTAGTGAACGTCTCACTTTGTATATTTATTAGCATGTCTGTGAAAAGAAATATATTTGGGTGAGGAGAATAAAAACTGTTTTTCAGTACCGAATGAAACGACTCACAAGCGTTCGTAGACCTGTACATGCTATTGGTGGTACATGCCCAAATTTTCGGAGGAAAGCTAGCTTCTTCTGACACATAATTGTCCAATATGTAGTCGCAAAATTGTATTACTTTCTCATCATTCGGTAATTTATCTAATATTTGGAATGCGAAAAAATCACCTACTTCGGTAGGTTCCAGAAAGTGTAGGCCGAAGAATAATTTCAAAAACTTACCAATTTCCGAATTTTTTTCTTTGTATTCATTAGATAGTCCTAAATTTAAAATTTTACGGTACCACGCTTGGCATAAATGCTATCCCGTGGTACAACTCGGCGATCCCGAGCATATCAAGGTCATTAGGGGTAATTACCTCGTGGTACAACTCGGTAGTCAATGTAATCCGGATAAAGAACGGTAAGGGATTAATTCAGGTAGTCGTGGTACAACTCGGTAGTCCCCTTCTAATGGACCCTCGTCGTGACACACACTATACCCCTCCTAATTATCCAACTGTATCACAAATAACCCCAACAAATCCGCAGGCACCACAGGCGACGAATCCTACACCACCGACGACGACGATGACGTCGACGAGCCGGACATCACCATCAAAGACCACGTCACCAGAGGCCTCTACGACATATCCACCATCGCCGACAAGGTGACCATCGACAGGAACAGCTCCGACAGCTCGATGTTCAGCGACAAATTCGTCGAGGAGCTCGACAAGGACCGCGACAGCGACGCCAAGAGCGCCTCGGGCAGCGAATGGAGCTCGACCGGCGTCGTCCAGGTCGGGGAGCAATCGTATCTGCGGTTGCAGAACGAGCTCAGAGAGGCGAACCAGGAGTTGCGGTTGCGCGACGTCGAATTGAACCGGCTCAATAGGTTGCAGAGGAACGTCGAGGCCGAGCTGGAGGATCTCACGGCCAGCTTGTTCCAGGTACTTTTGTTGCGTTTTATTTTAAGACCTAGGTAGGGTTATGTAGGGTAGAATAGGTTCGGTAGGGTGAAAACTTCTCGGCGTGATACACGAAGAGCGCTCCAATCAGCAAAAATTCCTGTTTCCTCTTTGGGACATTTATAATTAATTCTAGAACTGTCTAAGACCATTTAGAACTAGAACCTTCATTTAAAACAATCCAGAAGCATTTAAAACTGTCTGGGACCATTTAGAACGCTCCAGAAACATTAAAAACTATCTAAAACCGGTTAGAACTTTCCGGAATCATTTGGACATGTTAGGAACTATTTAAAACACTCCAGAAGCAATTAAAACTCTCTGGAACCGTTTAGAACGCACTCCAGAAGCATTTAAAATGATCTAGAACCATTTAGAACTCTCCATAGTCATTTAGATCGCTCCAGAATCATTTAGAACTGTCTAGTAGTAGTGAGATACAATGTAGAAGTGGTTGCAATCTTGTAGAATTGTCGATAAATTGTATAAAAGTAAAAGTTAGAAGACTCCATTCTTTTGGACTAGTTGATGAACTAAAAACACTCTTCCAACTCTTTTGGAATTGTTTATAAATTGTTAAAAGTAGAAGATAAGAGGTTCCAGTTTTTTGAAATAGCTGATGACTGTATTTACAATGAAGACGTTGCAAGGTTCCAATATTTTAGAATAGTTGATAAAATTTACAACGTTGAAGTTCGAAGATTCCAATTCTTTGGAATAGTTGATAGACCTACAGAGTAGAATTTAGAAGGTTGTAATTCTTTGGAATAGTTAATAAATTGTACAAAGTAGGAGTTAGAAGGTTGCAATTTTCTGGAATTATCGATCAACTGTCCAAAGTAGTTAGAAGGTTCCAACCCTTTGAAATAGTTTATAGACTGTACTTGCAAAGTAAACATTAGAAGGTTCCAATACTTTGAAATTGTTTATAAATTATTCAAAGTATAAGTTAGAAGGTTGTAATCTTATGCAGTTTATGATAAATTGTACAAAGCGGAAGTTAAAGAATTCCAATTTTTTAGAATTGTTGATAAACTATCCAAAGTAGAAGTTAGAAGGTTGCAATATCCTGGAATTATCGATTAACTGTCTAAAGTAGAAGTTGGAAGGTTCCAACTCTTTGGAATGGTTGATAATCTTTACAAAGTAGAAGTATGAGGACGCTAATCTTTTAGAATTGTTGATAAATTGTCCAAAGTAGAATATAGAAGGTTCCAGTTCTTTGGAATAGCTGATAGACTATGCAAAGTAGAAGTTAGAAGGTTGCAATCTCCTGGATTTATCGAATAACTGTCCAAATAAGTAGATGTTAGAAGGATATCTAACTCTTTGGAATAGTTAATAAACATTATAAAGTAGAAGTTAAAGGATGCCAATATTTCAGAATTGTTGATAAACTGTTTAAAGTAGAAGTTAGAAGGTTCCAATTCTTTGGAATAGCTGATAGACTGCAGTGCAATGTAGAAGTTTGAAAGTTGCAAACCTTTGAAATAGAATGTTCCAATTTTTTGGAATTTTGATAGACTGTACAAAGTAGAATTTAGAAGGTTCTAATTCTTTGTGGAATAATTAATAAATTGTAGTACAAAGTAGAAGTATTGCTAGATTGCATAATTACCTACATGCCTGTAAAAGGCTTAGCGAAATTCGAAACGTGGCTTTTGTTGTTTCTTAAAGCTGTTGTGAAACATTTGAAACAATGAAATTTTTTAGCGATAACTACATACGAGTACAATGAGCCGTAATTTATTATTTTTCGTATCGTTTTTTTTTATGTCAAGTTTTATTGCGGTCTTTATACGGACGCAGTCGGTTGTTAACGTGTGCAGTTTCTCTCCTTGGAGAGGATGAATTTTTTTTTTGTGAAATTGTTCCATGTCTTTATGAATTTTGTAGTAATTAGAATGTACCTCCAGGGTTGGGTAAAATGGATTTCCAGTATACAGACGGTTTTCCATTAAATGGATAAAACAGAAACAAAACCTAAACTCATGTCGGAGATAACAAAACTGAAACTTTTCGCAAACTTTTTGAGCACTGTTTGAATATTGTTTTTTAAGCCCCGCTCGAAAGCGGTAACATCAAAAGGTTTTGGTAGTTTTTTTCAGCTTGTTTTAAAACTCGACTCCACTTAGTAGAAACAGTCGGGTTGTATACAACCGGTGGAAGAGACCAAAACAAAAACAAAACAAGAACAAATCCTAGTGGGCTTTGTGGAAACAGCAGATTTAGATTTATTTCAGTTTTGGTTTTTTTTTCTCCAGGTTCCAGAAAACTAAAACAAATTACCAACTTTAGTGTTCGTTTAATGGAACACCGTCATTAGATATTTTGCAAGTTAATTTCAATGTTTTACTGAAACACTCGATTTTTTGGGTATTTTATTAAATTTTACGATTTTTTCAGATGAATTGACAAGTAAATTTGACTATTTTATCAGAAAATTTGATTAAATTGGTTAAATTTTCTATTAATTTAATTGTATTAATAATGTAACGTCTAGTAATTTAACTAATTTTACAGTATATTTATGAATATTTTCTTTACTTTACTTTCTCTAAAAATTCAAAATATATTTTTAAATTGTTCAGAAAGCGTCCCAAACGACTTTTCTACATTTTCCTGATGACTCGTTCCAAAATAGTCGTGAACCTGGTCTAAATGATTTTATACGGCTTTAAAATCCTTTTTATCTGATTCAAATGATCCTAGTCAATTCTAGAAGATTCTGGATATCTATTTCGAAATGATTTTAAACTGTTATAACTGGTTTTGCACAGTTCTAAATGGTTTTGAATAGTTCTAAATGGATTTGAAGTGTTATAAGTGGTTTTGAACAGTTTTAAATTGTTTTGCACAGTTCTAACTGGTTTTGCACAGTTCTAAATGAGTTTGAACAATTCTAAATGAGTTTGAAGAGTTGTAAATAGTTTTGAACAGTTCTAAATGATTTTGCACCATTCTAAATGGTTTTGCATAGTTCTAAATGGATTTGAAGTGTTATAAGTGGTTTTGAACAGTTCTAAATAGTTTTGCTCAGTTCTATCTGGTTTTGAACCATCCTAAATGGTTTTGCACAGGTCTAAATTGTTTTGAACAGTTTTAAATGGGTTTGAAGAGTTCTAAATGGTTTTAAACAATTCTAAATGAGTTTGAACTGTTCTAAATGGTTTTGAATAATTCTAAATCGGTTTAAACAGTTCTGAATGGGTTTGAAGAGTTTTAAATGTTTTTAAACAATTCTAAATGGGTTTAAAAGAGTTGTAAATGATTTTGAACAGTTTTAAATGGTTTTGTACAGTTCTAAAGCGATTTGAAATATTATAAGTAGTTTTGAACAGTTCTAAATCGTTTAGAACCATCCTAAATGGTTTTGCGCAGTTCATAATTTTCATGGGTTAAAGTTCATGGGTTTGAACAGTTCTAAATAGGTTTAAAAGTTGTAAATAATGGTTTTGCACATTTCTAAATGAATGAGTGTTATAAGTGGTTTTAAATAATTTCTAACTGGTTCCGAGCAGTTCTGAATGGTTTTGATGTGTTCTAAATGGGATTGAATTGTTCTATACCTTTTTCAATAATATCAAATTAGCCTTTAAAAGTCTTAACTTAAAGTATACTTTTTTATGAAAATAAATTAGATTGGTTTGATATTAGTTTCTCCTAGTACCCAGTAGGTACAATAATCCTTTAGCTGCTCTTGCGCTCCACACAAATTAATAGGTAGAATAAACTTGTTTCTCAGAATGTATAACTTCACTTCTTCGTCTCTCTCCGATCTCTCCATCTTCAGGACATTCCATCTGCATTCACGGGTTCGTTCAACTCGTTAGATTCTTCTTTATGAATGCGTATACGCTATGCGACGATTTGTGTGAGAATTTCTACTAAATCTTTTAATGAGAAAAATTTATACAATGGGCCCGGGGCGATGTGGTTATATAGGAGAAAGGGGATTTATACAAGGGTAAGGTGAAAAGTTCTCGGCCTGACAATGAAAGGCCGCGATTTTTAGTTCAAAAATTGTACATTCTTTTTCTTACATTAAGTCAAAATCTTTAGTTCGAGACAGTTTTAAATGGTCCTAGGCAGTTCTAAATGGTTCTGAATCATTTTAAATGGTTCTAGACAGTTCTAAATGGTTCTGAATCGTTTTAAATGGTTCTAGGCAGTTCTAAATAAGTCTGAAGCGTTCTAAATGGTTTTAGATAGTTCTAAATAAGTCTGAAGCGTTCTAAATGGTTTTAGATAGTTCTAAATGATTCTGGAGCGCTCTAAATCAGTTTAGACAGTTCTAAATGATTATGGAACGTTCTGAACCGTTCTGATGCGTTTTAAATGGGTTTAATTAAATTAAACAGTTCTAAACGGATTTGAAGAGTAATGAATGGTTTTGAAGGGATCTAAATGATTTTCGAATCTGAACTGAACAATTTAGATCTGTCTTGAACAATTTGAAAATACGAGCAAGCACAATATTGTTCAATTTTAATGCAATCTCTTTCCTTCTTTTCCGCATTTTATTTTTTCTATATTCACAACTAATTTGGTTCTAAACGGTTTTAATGCGATCTAGATGGTTTTAGACAGTTCTAAATGGTTCTGAATCGTTCTAAATGACTATGAAGAGCGTTCTGAATGGTTTTAGACAGTTTTAAATGATTGTATACAGTTCTAAATGATTCTAGATAGTTTTTAAATGATTCTAGAGAGTTATAAATAATTCTCTAGTGTTCTAAATAATTCTTAATCGTTCTAAATGATTTTGGAGAATTCTAAATGATTCTGGATCGTTCTAAATGATTCTGGAGCGTTCTAAATGGTTTTAGACAGTTTTAAATGATTGTATACAGTTCTAAATGATTCTAGACAGTTTTTAAATGATTCTAGAGAGTTATAAATAATTCTCGAGTGTTCTAAATAATTCTTAATCATTCTAAGTGACTTTGGACAATTCTAAATGGTTCTGAATCGTTCTAAAT